CAGAGCTGGTTGGTGGATCAGATAAACTCTGAACACCGACTCAGAACACTGTTCATTCACCATCTGAAGTGAAGGTATCTGAGAAGTTCTTTTGGCCGTTACCAGAGTATCTACCTGGTTCTCCGCTTCCTGTCTGGTCCTGGAGAGAGACTGCTCTCATTGGCTTGTTGTTTGTTGCATCCAATACCACCAGATATTCATCCCGAGAGATAGTTTTGGGGCATCTGCGAGCCCTCTGATCGCTTCTCTGAACAGCGATCGTCCTCACAGGAGCAAGCACCCATTTGCCACTGATCTGGAGGCATTTGTCACCGACCTCCAGAACTGCGAGTTAAAAATCAGGACAAAAATCATGTTGTTTGAACTAGAGACTGATGCCAACATGGAAACTTTAAACTGAGAAATAAAAAAAGGGGGAAACATCAAACTAAAATCATGTAGAACAAATAAACTGACTGATGCAGCTCTCCTCGTAAAACTCCTACGTGATCTACTCTCTGTGTAACACGAGATCTGATGTGGTTTGATGTGTTTACTGCCTGTGAATGGATGCTAATGAATGCATGCCGAGCAAAACACTGAGGCAGCTATTATTTCCCAGCATGCTCAGTATAAACAGAAGAGGAAGATGTGAAGGAAAGTCTGTTGAATTCAATCAGAAGCCCAAATTTTTTTCTGTAAATTGGAGCCATCATGTGGGAAACATTTACTGCCAGAGATGCAAGCAATTATGGGAAGAAAAGAAATACAGCCAAGAGCTGCTGTCAGCACTCTAGTAATAGGCGAGGCGCCCTTGAGCAAGGTATTCAACCTAATGCGCTTTACGGAGGATGATCTCATGTGTCGTCACGCCAGCTCGCAGGCTGATGGACGAATCCTGAGATTTACATTTTCAGGAATCTCAGCTCAGTCAGTTTAAAGAGAAAAATCACTTTAGAGATCATCAGTAGAATCAACCGTGGCTTCTGTCTGACTGAAGCCACAATTCTACTTTCAGACTAGATGTCGCACTAGAGCACCGCATCTCAGACCGAAACAAATGAGTGAGCACTACAGCCCACCAGATTCCATTGATAAAAGCAGAAATTTTACCTTGCAGATTATTAATCGCACTTTATTCAAACTAAAACTGTCCACAGAGGTCTGAAGCAGTTCCACCTTAACAATCACTGCTTCTCCCACGCTGTTGGACAGACAAAGGACGTCCCGGAGGGGCTGCGAGCCGAGCTGCTGCTAACGTTAGCTCAGCTTGTTTCCCT